AACTAAAGAATCAGAAAAAAGCTAGAGATATTTAGCAAAGAGGAATGGGCATTCATTACAGTTTTGGTATGTTTAGAGCAGGTAAAGATATCTTTAACCTGCAGCTGCAACTGCAAGAAAGATGGTTCAAAAATTATAAATCTGGCAGCTGAATGCATCCACAGATACAGAAGCATAAATGCTCATGCAACAAGTTCCAAATTGTTATTGCCTCATAATTTTGATACATTTATGAGATTTTTCCTCCATTATTGTACTCTTCTTTATGTCAGTCATTTTTAAAAATGCCAATAAAATTATACTGCAATTTGTGGATTTTACATGTCAAAAGCTGAAAAAGTTCTGGGAATCTGAATACTTTTGCTAAAGTCACTGTATTTGTCATGAATACCTTTGTAATAGACAAGTGATCAATATCAATAAAGTACATCTGATAGAATGTTGATGATTTAAATGAAATTTAATCCATAATTGCACTGCCTTCTGGGGGATGTAGGCAGAGGAAGAGCTTTCAACCTCTCCTGGGTTAAGCAAGGTCAAATGAATAAAGGTGGCATCAACTAACTCACTCTCTCTTTGGTTACCTAGCAGCAGTCTGATGAGAAACATGTGCAGTAGAAGTTTTGTTACCCCCAGGAGACTCAGGCAAATTTCAGTCCTCAGAGGTCCTGGCACACTGGAAGCAGTCTCAATGTCTGTCAGAAACGTTCCCACAGAGGTACGTTTCTGGGCGTGTACGGGCCTGTACTCAGTGATGCACACAAGAAACTGTTTGAAACTGTTCGACAGGAAACAGCAATCGCTTCAAACTGTTAGCGACATAATGTGGAAAGTCAAGCCAGAGCAACCGGTTGCCGAGACATGCAGCGTGACTGCCTCTCTCACTGCAGCACTAACAGCTGAGCAGTGGCTGCCTGAAATGGTGCTAGGTGAACAACTAGCTCATCAAACTTCCTAGTGTCCATTTGGATAATGGAAATGGGAAATGATTGTTTGAAATAGAAAACAACAGGAGTGATAGAAAAAAAAATGAGTGCAAAAGCTCATGAGCAAATTGTGGATGAAAAAGCACAGATCACGTCACCAATTTGGCAGTATTTAGGATATTTAAAACAAAAGCCACGTATGTAATTATCAATATCAACTGATATAAAACACTTCTGTTGTCATAAGCCCTTCAGCCATATCGCCAACCTCTTATAAATACTTTTCAAGCCTTTTGGAGAAGGAATGCAGCTATAGAAAACATCCTTTGCTCTTTTCTGAAGTTAACAGAAATACAATACCAAAACCACATACCACAGCGCACACATGCCTTCTGGTTGTTTGTGAACAAATAAACGCTGTGGGTGTGTGACCTTGGCACACATTACCAACTTCAAACTGGGTCAGCAGTCACCTCTACCTGTGAAGAGGAGTCTGTTCTTCATTTGGGCACACGTCGAATGCATCCACAGATATGGAAGCGTAAATGCTCATACTTGTTTGCAACAGAGGGAAGAAGATGGTTCATTTCCGTGGCACCTGTGACCCGCCGCTGTGTTTTTTGTTAAAAAACAACTGCCTCTGTAAATAAGTAGGAGGAGAGGAGCACGCCTTGTGGCAGATTCAGTGGCAGAGTTTTTTTTTTTTTTGTTGTTTTGTTTTTGTCTCTGGCGGTGGTGTGAGGAAAGCTGCCAAAATGCCAGTACATGGTATTGGTTTAGAAAACATGGGGTGCTGATTGATGATTATTTTTCTGGCTCTCTTGCTCAATCAAGCTTAGGTTCTATGTGGTTTGTGTTATTGTTTTAAATAGTCATCTTCATGCAGCATCCTCCTCACAAAGCACAAATGTCCATTGTGCCTTGGTGTAGCACAGACAAAGACGAGCAAAGCGGTTCAGTTCTGCAGGCACCTGCCTCTCTGATGAACAAATACGCAGACGGACACATCGCTGAACATGCCCTGGGGCTTTTATCACATCCAGCTGTCAAATGGGTGCTGATCCATCATCCAAGTTCTGTGTTCACATTTTGACGCTTTGACCTCTCTGAATAAATCTTTGATTTATCTGCTGAAGTCAGATGTCCAAAGCTTTGGTGCTGATTTTCAATTTTCTTTCCCCGTCTGAAGTGCACATTTCTGTCTTCCTCTCAGAGTGTGCAGATGCCACCCTCATGTTTATTGTCTCACTGAGAAATGATGCAGCGTCCACAGACGCAATGTCCCAATATTTTCTGTTTCCCTCCACCCCCTTCACCAGCCTCAATGAACCAACATATTTCCTATTACAAAATTGCCCTCTCCTTTTTTTTACTCCTCATCAAAAATAAATTATGATCTATTCCCAATTTGCTGCTTCCTAAAAGACAACAATACTACGTTGTTCGTAACCTTGGAAACTGCAGCTACGTTTGAAATGACTACAGCACAATCCTTTTAACTGTTGACAACTTTCATGTTTTATGTTTCGTGAGAGGAAATGTGGTAAATCAACTTTGCACAGACTGGAAAAAATGCATAGTGAATATTTAATAAATTGTTGAAAAGAGGCTCCTGCATGGTCGCATTCTGACAATTTCTCAGTGAAAGGAAATCAATGAAATGTCTAAAACAACAGCAAGGACACATTATTGAATTGGCTAAAGGACTGCTGTCCTCTGTAAGCTTCTTATTTTGTGTTTGGTTTGGTTATTCTTAAACTTCTTATATTAATTCCAAGTAGTGCTTTTAGACAGATTTTCCCAGCTTCCCTTGTGGAGACCAAAAGTTTGTTCCCAGTTATTTGATTTTATTTCTCAGAATATTTAGAAAGTTAACTAATTCAATGTCATCTTGACTTTATAAAAATTGCTTCTGTGTTAGCTTATTGGTAATCATTTCTTCATTAAAAGAGTTTTGTTTTATTAACACAACTGCAGCTACACAGTAAAATTTACAGAGTAAAATTTACTCAATTTGAAAAAAATTTTACTCTAAAAAAGACAACATTTGGTCCCAGTCTAAATAGAGTAAAATTTACTCTCCTGAAAGAGTTGAAATTACAGATTAAAATCAACTCAATTTAGTGCAAAAATTTTAATCAATGCCAAGAGAATTTACTCCAAGTTGTTTAAACCAGAAAATACTCTATCTTATTTTAACTCCAAGTGGAATATAATTTACTCTAAAGAGAATTGCATTCTATTATAAGCAGAGATACATTTTAGTCTAACTAAAAAGGAAATTTTACTCATAACAGAATAACATTTTATTCCATATAGTATAAATTGTGCTCTTAATACTATAAAATTTTACTCCTAATTTAATTTAATATTGCACAGTTAAAAATGTAATTAAATTCTAAAATAGTACCGAATTTAACTTTATTTCACTCACTAAGCAATTGTTTTACAGCTATAATACACAGCTGAGTTTGTAAGAGTACAATGCAGACCATAATCAGTATTTGAACAGCCATTTTTATTGTTCACAGGAAACAGTATGGAACAATATAAACATTTGCATCTTCATGACTGCATGACACCTGTAAATCAAAAGCTCTGGAACAGTAAAGCTCTTCTACATCAATAACATGAGGTCCGTCTCTTGTACACAAAACTTGAAAAGCACTGAAATGCTCATTCAGGCACACTGTTTGCAGAGCAAATGTAACAAACAGTAACCTCTCATCTTTCACAACAACATTGTAGATCTTATGGAAAACTGGCATTTCACAAAACACTTCTTTACAAACAACTAAACCTGCACGATACATTTCCATGATGTTTGGCCCATTTAACATTTAATACCTTGGTGTTGATTGGTAACTGAAGAGTCTCTGCTATCTCACAACCCCAAGCCAGTGCATTTAAAGGCACCATTTTACCTGGTCCAATGTTCAGTCTCTTGGGGTCAAATGTATGCCAACTGAAAGCAATGTGACTTTGATGCTTCAATGCCAGGGTTTTTGTAACATTTTTGAAACTTTTCAACTGTTTTTTAAAGAAATTGTGTTTAGCTTCGTATCGCATGCACCAGCTATGTAGAATTGGGCCTGTTTTGAGAATACATGTAGGATAATGCACCATGAAATGATGATGCGGTAGCAGCTTCTTTTGTGGAAACAAATGTTTGAATAACCTGTGATGTTCGGCAATCAGGTGTTTTAAGAAAATAGTAATACCTTTTGATAACACTGGTGAAAAAACAATATTTACTATTTGAAGCAACAGCTGCAGCAAATACCAGTGCTGATCATCTGGACAAACTAAGTCTCCAAAGATGAGTGGAAGGTTGCGCAGTAGACACCAGGACTGGATGGCATTTAACCCAAGTCATTTGAGTCCTCTAACAACTTTACTGTAGGTGGTTTGTTGGTTTGTTCCATGTACCCATAGTTAAAGCTCCTTATTCTCCTGTCTACATCGTTTAATGTGTGTACTGGTCAATTACATGCAATAAAATCAGCTTCATTTCATATTGTGCCACTCCTTCCAAGATATCATGCATAATATCAACTGAGAAGTTTTCACATGTTCTGAAGTACTGCAATGAATTTAGAATGCATGACTTTTTAACACCCATAACATATGGAAGTCTGGGATTTGCCTCCATTTTCTGACAATATTCAGCATGAAGTGCCTGAGTTCGCATAACAATCTTGGGTGAGTCCTCTGTAAACTCTGTCTGAAAGTCCTCTTTCTCAATGAGACAAAAGCGGCAACAGTATCTGGCACTAAATGACTCTACAAAACCAAACAGACAGTGAAGACCAAGGTTGTCACCAGTAACTTGGACAATAGTGCCACGTACTGGCTTATCATATAGAGGAACAGTAATTCCATCCCTCTCCAGGATTTTAACATCCTCCACAATCGGATCAAGTATCTTAGAGAAGCCATAAGTTTTAATGTCCTGTGCATGAAACAGAGAGACTAAGTGAATATTGTGTAGCGCAGAATTGTACTTAGGAGAAAAATTTCGCAGTGTGAAATATATAGCTCCCAATTTATGTATTCCCCTTTTGATCCCAAAGGATTAGCTGTTTCGAAATCATCATAGAAAAGTTGAATTTGTAGGGCATGATTTTGTTTTGAAAACAGAGTATGGCTCTTAAAAAGTTCTCCATCAGACAAGTCTGTAAGAGTTTCACTTGAATTTGACTTGGCCATCATCTCCTCTACATAAGGGTGCCTGAAAATGAACTTCAATGTTTCCAAAATTGGGATGTAAACAAATTTATCTGTAACAACAACCTGATCATAGCCCCCTGTGGTTCGATTGCGCAGTGTCTCAAATCTGGAACCAAGGACATATTCTACTGGGTCTACACGTCCCCAATTCTCTGCCAAAAAACGAGTTCTTTTACTTTCAGAATTTAATGCCATGAAAGGATTTTCCATTTTCTCAAAACATTGATCAATTTTGCACTCAATGTCATGTTTGACAGGTTCTTGTAAGGAAAGACTGTTTTTCACAGATTCTTTTGCTTGATTTTGAATATCATTAACTATTTCTTCCAGGGAAATGACCAAAGAGTTAATTGCTCTTTCACTTACACCTGCTACTTTAAGTTCAGCAACTGTTGTTGCGCAACTATGCACAAGCGATTTTTGAAGCAGGACTGAATCAGAAGTGGCACTCATAGAGGGCAAATCTTGATTTTCAAATGTCTCTTCAGTTGTAGATGGGCCTTCACCAGGATTAGAAGTGTGTTTATTATGTGCTTTATTGAGATGCTTTCTGAACCCAGAAAATGTGCCATAAACTTGAGCACAACCTCCCTGACCACATTTAAGACGAAGTGTCTTACCAGAGCAAAGTCCGTGGATAACTTTTAAGTGCTTGGTCAGAGAATTAGCATTTGTCTGGTACTTCTTACAAATGAAACAGAACATTCCAACTTGATATTGAAACAATCAGAATTGACAACTACTTAACGCAGCATCCGAGCCCTCAACTCTGCAACCCTAGGATTCACTTTGGTTGTCTCAACATCTATCTCATAAATGGCGGTCTGCAGAAAGTTGTACACATTGACCAGATCATGATCATATGAAGTGCCGAACACAAAGTGAGCTTTAAAAAGCTCATCAAAACAGGCAAGAGAACCTTGTGATTTACAAGGTATGGCATGTTTGTCAATCACAATGAAGTACTTGTGAATCACGCTCCTCTGAGTCCCTACTGCAAGCAGGTATGGTTGACGGCTTTCTGCGATGCCATCAAGGTGCTCCTGGATGCTGGTTCCTGTCTGGCAAAAACAGAATAAAACATGATTAGTCTTGGGTTTCAAAAACAGGGTTCGAATAGTAAGGCAAATTACTTTTCAGGACCTAAAATGTCACTTGAAATGAAATTAAGACCAACTTCACAAGAAATACTAATAAACAATTAAATAAATATATATATAAAAGGGGAAGAATAGAGAATTTTGATAAACATAAATGTTCCCTTTTCTGTAACCTTACCTTGACAAACTTCACAAGATGTTCACTGGCTTGTCTGGCTGAGAGTTTTCCTGGTCTCTTGCGCCCATGAGGTGACGGTGGCAGGAGGTGGACTAGGATCAAAATGGATGACATGTCACTGTCCCATCCTAGAAGAAAAAGTAAAAATAAACACAAGCTACCAAAACTTCTTATTTGCAACCGTGTGAATACTTCCAGAGTAATCTTACCAAACACTGACAGCAGGAGGAGGTGTACTTATATTGAACCAATTCATATAAAATTCTGTTAAACACTTTCTTTATAAGTCATTGCAACTTACCATTTTCCACTTCTGTTGTGCCTTCAGCATTGTGAAGAAGGTTCTCAAGGTCATCAGACTGTGTGAGACCACGGCTTTGTTTGAGGACTTTCTGCTTGTAGACAGTGGGCCACTTCTCCAGGAACTTTGCAGAGATGGCTTCCCCAAACATCAATGTAAAATCTTGCTCAACCTGGAGAATGGGTGAAGTGAAGGTTTTAAAAATAATTTTGTTAAACTTTCTCACATCCACCTTAATTTAAACTTTGTTGGTTAAACTGAAGTGAAGATAAGTACCAATCCTCCTATGTCCAGGAATCTTGGGAAGTCCAAAAAGATGCTAGATGACTTCATTGGGTCATAAATCATCTTCTGGCGATAGTTGAAAGTCTGTTCCATCTTCCTCATAACAGTTCCTTCGTCAGCGGTGTGCTTCATCAGCGCAATGGCCTCAGAACACAAGCTATCTGTCAGAAGATAGTCTTCTTCTCTCAGACAGTCCCTATCAGTTGTTGGTCCCCCTAAAAAAAGTGATATGAATGTGAGACTCCATCTTAGGATTTAATAAATAAGGCTTTGGAACTTATTGTGCAGTTTGGTTGCGGGATGAAATGTGTACAAGTATAAATACATATACCTGTTTGGGTTTGTGACAATCTGGGGACCTTCTTTTGTCCATTAGAAGCTTCCCTCTGGACAAACTTCAGTCTCCAAGCCAGATACCCACTTCCATCTTCTGCATTGTAATAATGCTCCTAAAAGTAGGTGAATGATAATGTTTTTAAAGCTGTCAAAGTAAAGACAACAATGAATGCAAGTAGTTGTGAATTACAAATCACATTGTTTGAATTACATAGATAAAATCTCTTCACAATGTTTATTCTTCAAGCACCAGTAGCCAACACTGGAACAATGTACTCTACAAAGGTTTAAAAATTGGAAAGTTAAAAACAAGTGGCACAGATTCAGGGCATGCAAAAGAAAAACATTTTCAGTTCTACTCAAACCATACCCAAGAGGTTGAACTTCTGTTTTGAACTTACATAGCCAAATCTGCTCTTAGGATCAGCCAGGTAAGGGAACAAGGTAATAATACCCTTTGCATAGTCTTCTTTTACATGTCTGGAAGGACTTGTCCTAGAGAGACACAGAAAAAACTATGAGCATTGTTAAAGGTGTAAAGAACACCTTCAATAAAGGTAATTGTCAGAGGTCCATGGAAAAAAAATTATAATTTCAGCATACCCATGTTCACTTGTCATTTGCGCAACCAGTATCTTGACCATGTCACGCCGTCTGCTGTCTGTTAGGCTTTTAGTCCGTGCATATTCATTTATGATCCTGTCTCCTCCTGGTTTGTTCTTTAAAACATTTTCAATCATCTAAGTGATGGCAAAAATTTAACAAAATATATATCAATACATAACAAAAACAACATACACAAGACAATTACAAATCCTATTTTATTTAACAAAAGAGATAGTATAAGAAGAGATATAATAGTTATTAGTAGAATAGTAAGTTATCTTTAAAAAGCACAAATAACTTCAAGACTTTAAATTTTTGGTGAAGACCAGAGCCTTCTATGGTAAGGATCTAGATTAAATGTGCAAAGATATGCTGAAGGAAAGAAGACAGTGTTTTAAGAGAGTAATTTATAAATATATTCAAATTTGCAAAAACTCTACGGAAGTCTGCCGCACAGTAATCTGCATAGCTTACGTGGGCAAGAGAGGTGTCTTTAGCTCTCTGTCTTGTTGCAGGACTATGTTGCAATATAATGGTGTCATCTGAGTCCACTTCAGTTTCTCCACTGGAACTCGTAAAGGAGCTGCTTGCTGCACAATTTAGCTGATCCATAGGATTACCTAAACATTTTGTTGGTAGTGTAAACAGTAGTCAACACACTAAAATTGAGAAAATGGTTTCTCAAACCACATAATTACACTATCAAGTAACCTGATGAGCTATTCTCACACAAAACAGTATGACAAAACACAGCTAACTCATGCATTATTTTTCAGTGTTCATTGTAATTAATCACTGAAACACCAGAAATAGGTGAAATTGTCTGTACTGCTCTAGAAAGCAATTTCTATCCCTATTATCCAGTCAAACCCGTAAGAATGACCAAAAAAATAGTTCACAAAAATAAATAAATCACACCTCAAAACAACTTACCTTCTGGATCGAGATCTTGTGCTTCACAAATCTCTAGCACACCAAGGTTCGGACCTTTCAAAAGGAGCTCAAAAACTTCCTCATCCACTTCAGTCTTTGAATCATCAAAGACTTTTAATTCCAAGGTTGGGATGCAGAACTTTTTGGCAGCTGTGAACATAGAAAATTATTTATTTATTATATTTTGAAACATGTGTAAATGGCAATTAAAATGGGACATAAAAAGTAAAATTAAGTAAAACAAAATTATAAATTGAATAGGTGCTTTATACCATAATGGGTGCATTTCCTCAAAAACGGTTTGTATTCCTCAAAATGTTTTTGAGGAATACAATATATGAAAATGTTGGAAACTTGTTTGTTAGCACTCACCACATTCCAAAAACGAACAGTAAGTCAGTTGGCCTTCAAAACAGACGTATTTCTGTCGATCTCTGTATTTCACACGCACAGCTTGCATCCTTCATGATAAGAAAATAATTTTTTTCTATAATCAAAGAACATACTTAAACATCAAAGTGAATAAAAAATTAAGGTAAAAGGTTGAAATCATCATGAGGAAGAAGCACTGGGTGGCTAACAACTATCTATAATGGGCAAGGCTCTTTACTTGAATTTAGCCAATTACCACAACTAAAACGGAAGAAAAAAACATATCAGCTCCATACAACTCGATGTAAACGGGATTTATGGACAAAATATTAAATGAAAAATGTTCTACGGACAACTTACACAGATTGCATACAAAGCACAACTTTAATTCTGTTTTTATCGTTGCTCTACGTTCAAGAAACGTTACTAGCATAGTCCTCTCGCGCCATTTTCTGGGCGGAATACAGACTCCACATATGCTAGCAGAGCTAGCATGTGTACAGCTCCCGCCTCTTTTCAACTCCGTCTCTCAGCTTAAAAATAGCGACAGCCTTTACTTGAGAAAATAGAATAATGGACGCAGCATTGTACAACACTGATGTGTTTTTTTTTTGCTTACATTGTTGTAAATGGCTAAATTAAGTTAGCTGAAGCACACATGCTAACTAGTTAGCCAACCTTGTTAATTCCTTGCTGCACCCCTCCTTCCCCCACAACCATACAGCATCACGTCATCATAATTAGTCTTAATAATTTAAAAAAATCATAAAGCCCAACGTAAAATATATTTACAACCCATTTGGGGACTTACCTCGCACACAGCTAACCGTCCCTCGCCTCCGTTTCCACTGCGCGATAACAAGATGGTGGAAGAAACGAAACTTAAGGAACTTCAGTGGGCGTGGTCTTGTTTTACTCCGATATGATTTCCTCTATTTTTTTACTCCGATTCTATTGACCAATTGAAATGATTTCACTCTCTAATGTATAAACTTGACTCTTTCAGAGGAAAATAATGTTAACTCCGAAAAATTTACTCTCCTATTTTTCCTGTGTAAGAAAAGACGGTTTAGTTGCTGTACACAGATCAATAGTGCACTCTGTGCACTAATCCATAAAAGAAGTTAAAATATGAGTGGGAAGATCCTTTGATTCTCTGTCTGGCTGCAGAAAACACATCCCGTTTCCATATTTTCTGCTGTTGAAAGGCTGAGATGAATCATTTGCTTGTAGGATGTGAGAGATTTGGCAGTTCTCAGACTGCGGGCAAACTTGGCAAGCTTTATGTTTTAGATTGGATAGACTGGAAGCTCAAACTCCAGCCTCTCCCTTGATATGCCCCGTCTAATCTTGATGGTAATGCTAAGTAAAACATGGCGATACTGGGAGTCAGAATGGTGATTTTTCAGCAGACAGTGTGTCCTGTGAGAAGTTATGGTAATAATTTGAGCTTATCACTTCATCTCATCTTTTGGAACATGAAGGGACTTCTCTCTTTCGCAACATATAAATAACAAAATCTTTTCACATAACAAACAAAAAGTGATAAACCTTAGGAAGAAAAATAAACAAGCTTATTTTTCATATAATTAAAGGCACTGAAGGGACAATTAACATTATTACACTTATACTGCATGAAGTTTCATTTCACTTCACGATTCAGCAATTCACACCAACACGTGTAATATGTATATAAAAATATAAATATATATGCATGTGTGTGTATCTATGGTCAATTAATAAGATACATTTAATGAGCAACAGACTTCTAATTGGAAATCAAATGGATGCATTATAATTATATGACATTAAGGAATGTAAATTATATAAAGATTTTATCAAAATTGCTGATCTTAATGTTCGTTTAAGCACAACTTGGCAAAATCTAGTATTCATGAATCTTCCTAAGACACTCTCCTAAATAAACCTTTGCAGTCCCTTCATGTCTGCCTCATTTCAACTAGGGTACTTTAGAATTTTATTTTTTTTAAAAAGTAAATCTCCATAAAAAAATAATAACAAAAAGAAAAACACTCCTTTGGAGGACTCGAAGAAACCGCCAGTGGAGGTTTGGTTCAGACACCTGAACAGGATACCTCTTGGGTGCCTACTTTTAGAGATTTCCAGTCATTCCCCACAAGGAGAAGAACTTGGGGCAGACTCAAAACTTTCTATAGGGACTGTGCTGTATATCCCATCTGACCTGGATTTTGCTTTGAGTTCCCTCTGTATGAGATACATAATTTTACATTTAAAAGGCATTTCTTTGCTTCCATCCTAGAACCTTTTACATTCCTTACTTGATCTCAGATAACAGGATAGACAAATTCTGTGGACAAAAAAAGCAAAAACACACAAAAAAAATATTCTTTCGATATTTATTAACTTTCATCTGCAACAACTATATATTTTATGATTATAATGTACAATAGATTTAAAGGGAGGAACTACACAGCTGCTGTAACTGTGTTTAGGGTCTTCAACATCACCTATTCAGCATATTTGCTTTCTATTTCACCCAAGATTTTGTTCCTTGTATGAAATGTCTCTATATATATCCATGTCCTGTTGCACTATGGTGAAAAGATGAATGTCCAAATATTGAACTCCAAATAAGTAAGGTTATTTTGGAAGCATTACCAAAATAGTGTAATGGGCTATTTTCTGTTTTCAAAAACGTAGGTAGGTCAAGTTGAAACAGTTTTGATTTGCATTTTTGTGTTGATGCTAATAATAATAAGAAGAAACTGTCATAAGACATTATAAATCTCGGGAAACTTACTCAAGTGTAGTAAACATTCATATTCTATAAATTACCAGATATGTCACAATGAAGTTTGTTGATCAAAACAAGGGTACCTTTTGAAAATAACAGCCTTAAGTGTGTATTAAACATACATTTTTATTAAGCCCACATTTCTACGCTAAAATGTTTTGATGTTTTTTAATTGGTCTTCTGCAATTGTATACTCTAAAATATGTTTTCCATACCTGTAGGTGGAAAATCATAATAACTGACAAACATTTAAAAATATCAGCTTGTGTGTGAACTGAGTTACTGAAATAAACTATTTTCAATAATATACAAACTTATTAAATGTGACCGAAAGTACAACAGATTAATATGCCTTAAGCTATAATTTCTCACTTTTAAAATGATCACTTTCTGTTTGTTTAGGTTTAGGCACAAAGAAGAAAAAGAAATTCTTGCGAGGTTGCTCACATAGTAGAAAGCTTCACTTTCTAGGTTGCCAGGTAGATTAGTCCACCAGAGACTTCACATCTAGGCTGCCTATTCTCATGACTGCTGGAGGTCACCTATTTTTACAGTGTTCCTACAGGTCGTATTATCAGCTTCAACAGGCAGCTTATGGCACTGTGTTCTAAAAGGAGATTTGTCAAGGTCTGTTTGTGATGCTACAAATAAAAACTCTACACTTGGTCTGTGTGCTGCCTTAATTGCTAATTGTTGAACTTGAACACATAACTATTTGATAACATAAAATAATTAAATGGGAAAAGAAAAAAAAGTAAAACAATATTTTCTACTCAGTGTGTGAAAGAACTAATTGCTTCAACAACATTCTAGGATGACACGCAGGCTGATAAAATAAAATAATTTATTGAGTGAACATCTAATGCATTTTAAAAGCTCACTAAACACCATGTCTTGCTTTTTAAGGTCATAATGGTAATCAAATTGGAAATAAGCCAGATAAGAATCCCTATGGAGGGTCATAAAGTTTTGGTGAAGAAGATGAAATACCTGAACATGGCAGTAACGTGTAATCTAGAAGTTGCAAAATGGCTCCTGAAAGTTTACAAAGTAATATCTTAAACAGTGAAGGGCATGTTCACTGGAGGGCTACATCAATCATTCAATATTTATTATCTCATATAAACAGATCAAGTATTTTACATGTAAACAAACTGAACATTAGGAGTTGATTTACAGTGTATTACTGCACATGCATCAAATTACTTCTGGCAAGTATATTTTTTAAGTCTTTCTCATCTTGAATTCTTTAAACACTTGCATTAATTGAACATCTGGAGGCAGTTCATATAAACATTTTCACCCATGTATTAAATTCATGGGGTATCAACAACCTGTCAAACATTTTCCAGTTATCTATTATAAAACTACAAGAGGTTTACATAAAGTCTTTACAAATCTTAAAAATGTTGAGCTTTTACTATTGCTTTCAAAAAACACCTGGTTTACCAATTCACAGCCTGCTTTGCTGTTTGTTCAGTCACAACATGAAATTGTGTTTTGACCTTCAGAATCAAATTTTTATGTGTCAGACAAAAGGACCATAGCTAAGATGTTTAGAAACCACACTAGTCAGATTACATAATGAAACTGAAGCTGCTGGAACACCAGTGTCTCTGTCTGCAGGAAAATGAGTTTTACATACCCATTAATTAAGACCAAAAACAAGCCCCTGCAGCAGCCCACAAGGAAAAGCCACCTGCCATCTGGAGATAATATTCATAGTCAATCAAACAAGACAAAATTTGCGTAGTTTGGTCATATATATATATTTTTTTCAATTCAGAGTAAGGTTTTTAGACAGTTAAGCATGGTGGTAGTAATAAGAAGGATATATTTTTCTGAATGTTATAGTAGCTTGGGAAAAGTGCCTGGAATCACAAAGATGTAGAACCACATGTCCATTCGTCATAACTGAAACTTTGAATGTCAGTTTTATGAATAAAATTGCCTTGTTGATGTCTGAGAAGTCTGATTTGAGATGGTAGACAGGCAGCAGTAGCTGCAATAGCCACTCATTACAAACAAGGCATGTACTACACCGTATCTGAATGCACAACTTGTCAAACCCTGGAGCAAACAAGTTACTGCAGGAGAGGACCACACCGAATGCCACTCCTGTCAGCTAAGAACAGAAAACAGAGGCTACACTTCACACAGGCTTAACGAACAGATGGGAAAACATTGTCTGGTCCAATAAGTCTTAATTTCTGCTGCAGCCATCACGTGGTAGCGTCAGAACTTGGCTGAAAAACATTAAATTATTATTTCCGTCCTCATGCATCAATGATCCTTTATTCCTCCAACCAACTGCAACCCCCCTTTTTCTTTTTGAACTTGGAGCCTCTTAGTGGAAACTAAGCATTATTTGAATGCCACGTTCTACCTGAGAAGTGTTGCTGATTGTATTCATACATTTACAAATACGATCATTTATGACGTGCACCCATGTTTGGAGGCCTCCTTTCAGCAGTATAATGCATCACATCACAAAGCTCACATCATCTGAAACCGATTTCTTAAACACAAATTTCCCCGTATGCAACTGGCCTCCACAATTACAAGGCCTCAATCCGAAAGAGCTACTTTGAGAGATGTGATGGAGAGGGAGATTCATATCATGATACTGCCATACTGTCCAGGACAGTATGGACCAAAATGTCTTCTGACACCTTGTTAATGTAACAACACAGAAATAAGGTAAATTTTTTGTCCAACCCAGGACAAGAAAGATGTATCAAATAAAGGATCTGGTGAGTGTATTTGAGACTGTATGCATATGCTAATGTCTGAAATAGAAAATCCAGGTTGGACTCTTGTACATCCAGGTTGTGACTTCTTTAACTTCTTAGAACATGTATGTTAAACAATCATTCCACCATGGAAAACAAGCATTAAGATATATTATGAGACTCAAAATAATGACACTTACTCAAAAGATGAGTTGTTACAAACTGTCCTGCTCACCCTCATGTTTGTATCAAATACACAGCTTATAACAGAAAAAAAAAACTGCAGGCAGTATTTAAAGCACAACTGGTTCATAGTCTAGACTAGAGGTTATTCTGCTTCTCCTTTAATTCATAATCTTTGTATTGTCGCCCCACAATTCATTTTTCCCCAGAATACAGTACACATGGGCATTATTACCTCTCTACCAGTGTGATGGAGATATTCCTTTTGCGACTTAAGACCCCTTCATGCTTTCATTACAACACAACCATACATCTTCCCTGCGTCTTGACGGTGCAAAGGGAGTGTAGCAGCCATCTGG